ACCAACTGGTGCAAGGAATTCAACACCAACCGAACACTCCAATTCCAATTTAACCACGAACTGGAACCACCACAACCACATGCCTCAGGACTACCCCAAGGCTCCCTCCTCTCCCCAGTATTATTTATGATATACGCCGGGGTGATAACAGACCCCACCAACTCCCCCAAAGAAACCAACATCACTGTTACGAACCACTACCGCAACACGGAGGAAGCATGAGTCATCGGAAAGTGCCGGAAGTTTCTGCGAAGGATTAGTAATCGGGTTGTTTCTTCTTTCTTATATATAGGGTGCTTGCCCCCTCCTGTCTACTCTTTTCTAGCAACATCTTGTATTTTACTTTGAGTTTTACTTTGGGATTTACTTCGCTTCAAACACTTCTTTTCTCCCGTCCACATTAGTCTGCTGCCCATCATGCTCTCGCATCCGCCGTTATGTTCCTCGTCGTCGCCCTCGTGGCCCTGCTCGCTTACCCCGTTCCCCTCGGCCCCCTCGCCGACCGCTGTCTCCTCCGCCCTAGTGCGGGGCCCTTGTCCCTGCCCTCGGGCACACCGCTGACTCCACCCTCGCCATCGTGCGAGCCTACGTTCTCCTTTCCAGGAGCCCCTAGTGTCCTTCGACCCCTTGCCAAGCCCTCGCACACGGTTCCTATACACTATGTTGCGTGCCTTATGGCTCGACCGACAACCCTCTCTCCGAAGAACACCAACACACTGCTACCATTCGCTTACGCCGCCTCTTCCTCCTAGCCTGGACAACAGCCTACCTACTCGGTAGACTTCTCCCCCGAGCTAGGGAGGAACCATTCGCCGACCAAACCCCCCCACTATTGACACCCCGACGCACTCGACGACTACAACGCCTCCTCCTCCAACGTGCTGCCTCTCTTGGAAACCCTACAGGAAACGACCCGGGTTGGTGTTTCCTAACACTAACCTCCAGGGACTTCCACCCCTACCTCATCGGCATCGGACCATACCCATCGCCTGTCAAGGTCTTGAATACCCTTCATCGGTTAGGAGCACCACTACTCCCTGCCCTGGTCACCCGTCATGGGGGCACAGCCCACGTCACCAAAGCCCCCGGCGCCCACACGGCCACACGACTCTTACGGACGAGAAGGGTAGGAGCCAAACTCAAGATCGGACAACTACACCACCCCGGCGACTGCGAACCCTTTGAAGTACCAATACGGCTATCTCGGAACAAGGACGCGCTCCAGGCGCTGGTGGACACCGGAGCCACCGGATATGGGTTCATTGACGCTTCCTTCGCCAAGGCCCGCGGATATCCCCTCGAAGAACTAGCGACCCCAAGACATTTCCAAGTGATCGATGGACGAGCCATCGCCTCCGGAGCCATCACCCACTGTTGCAAACTCCACCTCGAGATGAACGACCATGTGGAAGGGGCCTCCTTGTTTGTCACCAAGCTCGGCGACACGAAAGTGGTCCTCGGACTCCCCTGGCTACAACACCACGCTGCCGAAATACGGTTCGCCGACCGATCCATCTCCTTCCACGCCGAACGCTGCCAACAGCACACTGCAACTCTCTGGACCTCCACCCTCACCTGTCCCCCATTGACCGCCTCCGCCGCCACCCTGCCGCCCCCGCCAATACCCCCGAGACCACGCACCGCCATCCCCTCGCGCCCGCCGCCAATACCCCCAAGGCCAGCCACCCCTCGCCGCACGATTACCCTGTCCGCCGCCCGATTCCGCAGAGAAGCACAAAAACCGGACAACCAGCTTTTCCTCCTCGCAGCCCGAGCCCCAAGCCCAAACTCATCGCCGTCCCGATCAACCGATGAACTGGTCCCTGCCGCTTACCACCAATACCTCCACCTGTTCCAGGAATCCGAGGCCCAAGCGCTCCCCAACCACCGGTACATCGATCACGAAATCCCGTTGATGGAAGGCAAGCAACCACCCTTTGGCCCCCTGTACGGCATGTCCTCGGAGGAATTAAAAACCCTGCGGGAATACCTGGATGACCAGCTAGCCCGAGGGTACATCCGTTCATCTTCGTCCCCTGCAGGAGCTCCCGTCCTGTTCATCAAAAAGAAGGACGGATCCTTAAGGCTATGTGTGGATTACCGCGCCCTCAACGCAGTCACCATCAACAACCGCTACCCCCTACCGTTGATCAACGACACTTTGGACCGATTAAAAGACGCCAAGGTATACACCAAGTTGGACCTCCGCCAGGGCTACAACCAAATCCGAATCAAGGAAGGAGAAGAATGGAAAACAGCCTTCCGAACCCGGTACGGGCTGTTCGAATACCTGGTCATGCCATTCGGACTCACCAACGCCCCCGCTACCTTCCAGGCCTTCATGAACGATACCCTCCGAACCCACTTGGACGACTTCTGCACGGCGTACCTCGATGATATCCTGATCTACTCCAACACGCCCGAAGAACACCAGCAGCATGTCCGCATTGTCCTGGACAAACTACAAGCCGCGGGCCTCCACTGCAAGCCAGAGAAGTGTGAGTTCCACGTGGATCGTACCGAGTACCGGGGGTACATCATATCCGGCGAAGGGGTCACCATGGCAACCGACAAAACAAAGGCGATCCAGGAGTGGAAGACACCCACCTCGGTCCACGACGTACAGGTCTTTTTAGGGTTCGCCAACTTCTATCGAAGATTCATCCGTGATTACTCCAAGGTAGTATCCCCCATGACGAACCTGTTGAAGAAGGACGCCCCGTTCGTATGGACAACCGCGGCGGAACACGCTTTCGCCCAACTAAAGGAAGCTTTCACCACCGCCCCGGTACTAAGGCACTATGACCCCGAACGAGCGTGCATAGTGGAAACCGATGCCTCTGACTTCGTTGCGGCAGCTGTACTCTCCCAGAAGGACGACCAGGGAATCCTACACCCTGTGGCGTTCTACTCCCACAAGATGACGCCAGCCGAGTGCAACTACGACATTTATGACAAAGAGTTGCTAGCGATCGTACGCGCGTTTGAACAATGGCGAAAGTACTTGGAACCCAACAACCAAGAAATCACGGTGTACTGCGATCATAAGAACCTGGAGCACTTCATGTCCACAAAGATCCTTAACCGTCGTCAAGCCCGCTGGTCCTTAACGCTGTCCTCCTTCAACTTTGTAGTCACCTACCGCCCGGGTACGAAGAATGGGAAACCTGATGCCCTCACACGTCGATCTGGAGATCTCCCTAAGGAAGGGGATGAAAGATTGACCCAGCAGCATCAGGTTGTACTAAAACCAAAGAACCTTCGTCTGGCGGCCGCACTACAGACCCCCACACCCTCCAAAGTGGCACCATCCCGCCAAAGGGAACTAGAGACCGCACTGGCCAAGGACCCTCTATCCAAACAACTCATGAAGGATATCGCGGCCAAGAAGAAACACTCCCGCTTCTTACCCATAGGTGAATGCACAGTTAAGGAAGGATTACTGTACTATCAGGGCCTACTATACATCCCTGACGACGCCGCTATCAAGTTGGAGATCCTCCGCACCCACCATGACGCACCTTCAGCCGGACACCCAGGACGGGCACGCACGCTGGAACTACTGTCCCGGAACTTCTACTGGCCCCAAATGTGGAAGTACGTTGCCCGTTATGTGGACCACTGTGATACCTGCTCCCGAATTAAGCCGGCCCGACACGCCCCGTATGGTCTCCTCAAACCACTGGCTCCCCCAGTCAAACCTTGGTCTTCGTTATCCATGGACCACGTTACAGGCCTACCCGAGTCCCAAGGATCTAACGCCATCTTAGTAGTGGTCGACCGGCTCACCAAAATGGCCCACTACATCCCCACGAGAGACACCGCCGACGCCCCGGAACTGGCCCGACTATTCCTACAACACATCTGGAAAGCACACGGGCTGCCGAAAGACATCGTATCAGACCGGGGCTCAACCTTTACCTCGCAGTTTTGGAAGTCACTCTGCGGCCAATTGGAAATCAAACCCCGATTCAGCACAGCCTTCCACCCACAAACAGACGGACAGACCGAAAGGGTAAACGCCATTATGGAGCAATACTTACGGGGCTACGTCAACTACCAACAGGATAACTGGGCAGAGTTCCTTCCCCTGGGAGAATTCGCGCATAACAATGCCTCTACGGAACCGTTGGGAGTCAGCCCGTTCTTTGCCAACTATGGGTATAATCCCCAACTAGACGTTCTCCCTGCTGAAGAAACGCGCAAAGTCACACCGAAGGAGGTATTGGAATTTACGAACGCAATCTCCACCTTACAGGCTGCCCTGCGATCAGAGATCCTGTATGCACAAGCCGCCGCCGCCGAGAGTGCAAACGCCGCCCGACTTCCAGAGCCCCGACTCGAAGTAGGAGATATGGTATGGCTATCGAGAAAACACATACGCACCACTAGGCCATCGGACAAACTAGATCACAAACGGCTAGGGAAGTTCAAAATACTCGAACGCATCGGATCACATGCCTACCGCTTGGAACTCCCCGCCTCGATGAAGTCCCACCCCGTATTCCACGTTTCATTGCTAGAACCTGCTCGGACCCAACCTTTGCCAGGCCACATACAACCACCACCGCCCCCGGTAATCGTTGAAGGGGAGGAGGAGTTTGAAGTACAGGAAGTACTGGACTCCCGAATACGGCATCGGCAATTACAATACCTAGTCAAATGGACCGGCTACGAACAACCCACCTGGGAACCAGCTCGGAATCTCGATGCGGAATTAGGGGCACTGCAACGCTTCCGCTCCGTATATCCCAACAAGTCCGCGGCAATCCTTAAGAGTACCTTGCGTAGGAAAGTATAGTTTGTTACGGTTTCTTTCGCAAATGAAACCGCTCTATGTTACGTTCCCTGGTGTCTCGCCCACAGCCATTTGCTAACTTGCTATGTACTTACTTTTACCTCGCCCCCCGCCTACTTGCTCGCAGGAGCTCGCTCTTCGAGAAGAGGGGCTAAACTGTTACGAACCACTACCGCAACACGGAGAAAGCATGAGTCATCGGAAAGTGCCGGAAGTTTCTGCGAAGGATTAGTAATCGGGTTGTTTCTTCTTTCTTATATATAGGGGTGCTTGCCCCCTCGCTGTCTACTTCTTTCCTTACGCAACATCTTGTATTTTACTTTGAGTTATTACTTTGGGGGATTTACTTCGCTTCAATACACTTCTTTACTCTCCGTCCACGTTACGTCTGCTGCCCATCATGCTCTTCGCATCCGCCGTTATGTTCCTCGTCGTCGCCCTCGTGGCCCTCTGCTCGCTTACCCCGCTGTTCCCCTCGGCCCCCTCGCCGACCGCTGTCTCCTCCGCCCTAGTGCGGGCCCTTGTCCCTGCCCTCGGGCACACCGCTGACTCCACCCTCGCCATCGTGCGAGCCTACGTTCTCCTTTCCAGGAGCCCCCTAGTGTCCTTCGACCCCCTTGCCAAGCCCTCGCACACGGTTCCTTACAACCACCTATATCGACGATGATGCACTCGTACAACTCGTAAAGTCCCCCCTCTACATCACCAAAAGACTCAACGAAAGAATGGCGGAAAGGGTCAAGAAAGCAGCACCCCTCAATATCAAATACGAACCTCAGAAATCCGACCTGGTCTTCTTCAAACCCACATCGTCGAACACTCCAACTACCAGAAACTCGGTAACAATCGCAAAAGAAGAAATCCAACCTAAAGATAGACTCAAATACGTTGGAGTCTGGCTGGACTCAAACCTCTCCTTCCGACCCCACATCGAAGAAACCATCGCCAATGGCCTTAAAGCCCTAAGCAGAATCAGAAACATCGCACACCTCCCTGGGACAAAAATAAAATCCATCCACCACCTCATCGTCCAAGGCTTCCTCCCCACCATCCTATCGGGATCAGAGGCATGGTGGACTGGAGCCGACCACATCCTCCGATCACTATCCCCACTCTATAACGAAGCTGCCAGGATAGTAACAGGCCTACCCCGCTGGACAAAAACTGAAAGACTGCTGAAAGAGGCAGCACTCCCCCCACTCGAACACCTCCTCAACCACAAATCACGAAAATACGGGACGCGCATCCTTTGCCACCCTGCCGACCACCCACTCAACGAAGGACTGATACAGCTCCTCCCCACCAGAATAAAAAACATAAAAGGCACAGGCCTACACCGGATAGCATCACTCATGCTACCCTTCCAAGAACCAGGCAACCGCAGAAAGCGATGGATCCAAAACGACACTCTCACCAAACGCATACTGGAAGAATGGAACTCCATCCAATGCACTAATTACCACGAGCCAAGAACCCTTAAAATTCACCCCAAACGAGCAAAACTCCCCCGATCCAGAGCGAAACTCATACTTCGCATACGATGCCAAGCCACCAGAATAGACAGACACGCAGCATTCACGGAACCCGAACCCTGCCAATGTGGCTCGGAACAATCCTTCAAACACACTATGATCGACTGCCCGCGATGGGCTCAAATACGAAGACCACTTATGGATAAAATCCCAGGACCGCACACCTGGGAAAACTGGCTATTCACCAACCTCAACGTAGACCTAATTCTACAATTCGCATCAAAAACCAATCTACTCGACTGGTACGAAATGGACGAGGAGGACCCGGAGGAATGATGATAGGTTTCTTTGTTTTCTCTTTCCTTTTCTGTACCTTCCTTTTATCTTCGTTGCTTTCCATCTTCTTTTCCTTTTCTGTCTCCTTTTGTTTTTCCTATGTTTATGGCGGTGGATCCGGCGTGCGATAAGTCCTGTACTTCAAAGCAATATAAAACTATCTATCTATCTATCTTCTGTATTCCCTCGCAACACCAAAACTTTCGAAC